GTAGATTTTTCTTGTGTTACGCACGACTAGTTCATGCAATGAACATAAACTGTGAAGAAGGATTTATTTAATCTTGCGAGTGCAACAGGTCCTCATCACGCGTATATCCTAGACACTCTGTATCCTGTAGCGTTCATCTTTACATCCTTCTCCCTCCCCACCCGCAAACGACGTGTTTACCCCCCCACACCCGGCTGTAACAAAACACCCATAATAATGACCCCGAGCCGCTCATTATTAATCCTAATTAGACCTCTCATTATTAATCTTAATTAGAAACCAGCTCAACTCCGCAGCAGGAAAATAATCGCCAAGGTCTCGCTACTTGACAGCGCGGCTGCGCATGCCATCTGTTGTGTAGCCAGCTGCGCTCAACCCAGCAACTCGACAACTTCAGTCAGGCTGGTAGATATTTTCAACTGAATATTAGGAAGGTGCAATTAAAACTCAGAAAATGAATGGGTCAGATTGTCCAAATAACGACATACTTTAGCGCACACCCCAAACAGCGAGCGGATGTAGCTATGATCGTACGCCCTTATGACGAGCCAAAATGAGTCAAGATTTCTCACACAGGGGAAGTAGTGCAACGTTATTGAGACGAAGTTTCACTATCATCAATAAGTATAAGAATTATGTTGCTTATAAGCCTTTTTCGTTGTAGGTTGATTCATGCAGGAGCAAATACCCTGTAATGTCTCATAGATATATTCCTTTCGTAAAGATTAAAAGAAATATATTATTTTTGGTCACGAGTTTTCGATTACGAGATCGTAAGGTTGACCGTACGCTCGTCCTTGTACGGGCTTTGAAAATTGTACTTTGTTGTAGCCAGGCTTGTGAGCACCGCCGCAAATGCGCCATAATCTGTCGGCAATGGGCCGTTAACGGCATTTGCAGGGAATTGCAGAATCCTAAACGGCTTGATTACCTCTTTTTTGACTGCGGCAATAGAGAGGCAGAAAAGGAAGGTAAAGTAAGCGAGGACGACGAGACTATGTTGGGAGTCAAAAGATAAATTATTTTATTTAATCCCCACCAGCGAAATTGCTAAAAGTTAACCATAGACTACAGACGACTTGTAATTTAATTTTAATCAATTTAAAATAAATTCAATTTAAATTTAATTTAATAATTGTAATTTGTTTAATGTAATTAATTAAATTACATTGTGATTTCACACACGAGCAAATTTTTAAAAATTTTTAAATTTTTAATTTAATCCCCACGAGCAAATTTTCTAAAAGTTAGCCATCGACTACAGACGACCTGTAATTATATTTCAATATACCATATCATGATATAGGAATTATATAGGGAATATTTTAATCTTACTTTAAAATATGAGAGACCTAAGGGAACTCTTGAATTAATTGAGCTAAATATAGTGTAAGTCTTTTTATTTGTTGTTTCATTTTAAGAGAACAAATCTACCACAATACGGTAACTCGAAGTATAAATCATTTAATTCTTACATATTAATCCTGATCAATTCTTCACAGCTAACGGTGCGCGCTACAAGTCTTTAATTTCCTGAAAGCAGGCAGAAGAGTCGACGAAATCCAGGGTCTCGAAGAAAGTTTTTTCAGTAAGCCTAAAGAAAAGTGTAAGAAGATTAGGATGTTGCTATACGCCTAGCTACAAAAATTTGTGGCTGTGAACTTCAAAATCTTTGGAGTTTTGGTAGCTAATTCGGAAAATAGTTGTCTCCTGTCTTCAATTTATAATTTTATTTGCATTTTAGCACCGCATTATTTTGACTCGATAATCTCTGCAATTCTACAGTATGAATCCCGTTAATAATAATAAATTTAGTGAGCGCAAGTCGAGAACAAACGCTCAGTTTAGCGCGTTTGGAGCACACGAACGTTGATGCTGTGAGCGCAAGTCGAGAACAAACGCTCAGTTTAGCGCGTTTGGTACGCGGCTGAGCACAGACCAAAGAAGATAATCCCGGCCTGGTTTATCTCAGCAATAAACTTCCGAAGGACTTGAAATGCCGCAATAAATCTCTTGACCAGAACCCACCGATGCACGAAGAGCTTTGCTTTACTAGAGATTGCATTTTTCAATCAGCCGGATTAAATTCGCTCTATTGAATTCGGCACGACGACGCGCAAAATTATTCTCTTAGGCAGAAATGTAAATTAAGATTAACTTAATTCATGTAGGATGTTGTAAACGCAATCTTATTGACTGCCAAGTTTAACTTGACTATGTATTGGAATTAATTACAAACATACCGCGTTTAGCTCTATTAACTCACATTTTAATTTTCTTGCCTACCATAATAAATATTTGTTCCCTCAAAATTAGCCCTGTAAATTAATACAATTAGGACTTATGTTTCGTCATAATTACTGAAATTGATGATGACCAATTCAAAGAACCACGTTATCAATCCAACGTTAATAATAATCCAAGTTATTAAACAATGATTAGGTTAACCCGCAGTTGACAGTTGTACCGCTAAATCTAATATTTAAAAATCGCGTTATTCCGTATCACGTCATTTTGAATCCATGCGTCAGAACGACATTATCCAGAATCCAAATATTACGGATTTATTATTATTACGCCGTTATCCAGAATCCAGTTAATAATTTGAAGCTATTGCACGGGAACTGAGAAGTGACGCGTCCAAAAATATTACCGAACTCATATTCATATCTTACTTAAAAATTTAAAGGTAACTTGAATTTCGTAAATTTTTCTGAGTAAGGAATATATTATTTACCGAAGCAAAGATCAAGTAAACATATTTAAATATAACTCATTTTTCAATGCCATGGGGTTCCACCCCAACATAAAAATCAACTGCCAGTTTGTTAGCGTTGCGCCAGTTTAATTTTTTTCACTCTAGAGCAGAACATCGATCTCATTAAGAATGATAATTTATGCGCAGTCACGAGGAGAAAAAATGCTTCAATGTAAGAATTCTTTACGTACGTAGCGTCTCGCTCCATCATTGTTAAGGCCATGAAAAGTTCCCCAAAACGAGCATAATGAAACGGAAGAGGCCAGCCCTCCAAACGATGACTGATGATCCATTGCACTTTTGTCGCTCTCTTTTTATTCTAGAATTAATTACAGCCGAGACTGAAGGCCTGCGTTAGAGGATGAATCACAGCCGAGACTGAAGGCCTGCGTTAGGGGATGAATCGCACGGTCGTCTTAGCACGGTACGATAGGCTGGCCGAATGTCTTAACTTGGATATTGTGCTTGTAAAGTATTACTTTCAAGTATTTATTACGTAAAGCAATACAGAATGTTACTAACTATTAATTGGGTAGAAATTATCTCGAATTTTACTAACTATAAATTGGGTACAAATTATATCGAGTTTTACTAACTATTAATTGGGTAGAAATTATCTCAAGTTTTACTAACTATTAATTGGGTAGAAATTATAACGAGTTATATTAACTATTGATTGGGTAGGGATTATATCAAGTTTTACTAACTATTAATTGGGTGTAAATTATATCGTGATTAACGAACTATGAATTGCGTGGAAATTATATCGTGATTAACAAACTATAAATTGGGTAGGAATTATAGCGTGATCAATGAACTATTAAATGGGTTGAAATTATTTCTAGTTTTATGAACTATTTATAGGGTAGGAATTAAATCGAGTTACGAACTATTTATTGGGAAAGTATTCCATATAGTCGTACGAACTATTTATCGGGTAGGATTAATATCGAGTTTTGAACTATTAAATGGGTTGAAATTATTTCTAGTTTTATGAACTATTTATAGGGTGGGAATTAAATCGAGTTTTACGAACTATTTATTGGGTAAGTATTCTACGAATACTATTTATTGGGAAAGTACGAACTATTTATCGGGTAGGATTAATATCGAGTTTTTGGAACAGCTTATTGCGTTTGAATTAAATTGAGTGTTCCAAACTATGTATGGTGTAGGAATTGTATCGAGTTTTACTGCTATATATAGGGCGAGGATAGTTTCTAGTTTCACTAACTATTTATTGGGTAGGAATATAATGGAGGGGCTATTTTGTTAATATTGGAATAGTTGGGCAGATGTTTTTCTTTAATGAACCTTTCGTTGAAGTCAAGAGAGTATTTATTTTGAACAAATTAATAATGTTAAAATATTAGAAAAAGTTACCATTGTTAATTATCAATAGGAAATTCTCTCAGGCTTTCAGCGAAATATTCTTTGTTACTGTGAATTAATAGATTTTTAGCTTAAGGCTCTGGTGGAAGTTTGTCAGTCAGAATTTCGTTGATATATATGAACATGTTATATTCATATATCATGTAATTATAGTGAATAAGTTACTTGGAAAAAGCAAAAAGTGAATCGAGTTAACTTTATTTTATTTATTAATTATTCACATTGCAGTAGAAGACAAGGCATAATTAAAAATAAGACATAATTACAGATAAAACCAAAACCTCACAAGACACAATTAAAAATAAAATAAGAAAACAAATGATATAACCCTTTCAGTGAATTCTAACATGCAATGAAAGTGTTAGGAATAGAAAGCATATCAAAATAAGCACATCACGTTAGAGTAACCTAAAATAAATATTTTGAAACTTGGTTCTATTTAATATGTTATTGAATAATAGATTAAATGTGTAAACATCATTTAGAACGAATTAACATTCTTCTTCCAGTTCATGAAGTGCAATGCTTTGCGTACGCGTTTTTCATGCGTATATCGGCCAATTAATAAATATTAAGCAATGATAAAACATGCGCTTGGAGGATTAAGAAATGAGTCAGTACATTTTAATACTTGTATTGAAATTGAGAGCATGCGAAAATGAAGCGTTACAAATTTAGTTCCATTTCTTTGTAAATGGAAGTAGTCATTTTGATGATTTACGTCGATTTTCGCAGAACTTAGATCTTTCAAGAATGGAATTAAATACTACAAAGACTACATTTAAATGAATTAAATGTAAATTACACCTGCTGAAAAAATTAAATGTATATATTTTCAAAAAAATAATCTTTATTTTTTTGCACCATCATCGTGGTTGCCATCATGCTCTTCTGTTTGGTCACTCGCACCATCATCGTGGTTGCCACCATGCTCTTCTGTTTGGTCACTCGTACCATCATCGTGGTTGCCACCATGCTCTTCTGTTTGGTCACTTGCACCATCATCGTGGTTGCCATCATCCTCTCCTGTTTGGTCACTCGCACCATCATCGTGGTTGCCACCATCCTCTTCTGTTTGGTCACTCGCACCATCATCGTGGTTGCCACCATCCTCTTCTGTTTGGTCACTCAAGCCATCATCGTGGTTGCCACCATGCTCTTCTGTTTGGCCACTCAAGCCATCATCGTGGTTGCCACCATGCTCTTCTGTTTGGTCACTCAAGTCATCATCGTGGTTGCCACCATCCTCTTCTGTTTGGTCACTCAAGTCATCATCGTGGTTGCCACCATCCTCTTCTGTTTGGTCACTTGCACCATCATCGTGGTTGCTATCATATTCTTCTGTTTTGTGTAACAAAAATGCCTCACAACAGAGCATTCTCATTCTCAGAAACTTTCATAACAGAAAAATTGAACTAAATACCTCACAAACGAACATTTCTCCCTCAGAATGAGCTGCTACAATCCTCAGTGTTTGAGAGCAGCATGAGGCTCAAAAGATCCCCAGTCAAGCCTCACGAGGGCCTCACTCAAGCCCCACAAAGCCTGTAAGAGACCATCAATATTTACTGAAGACTGTCGTCCGCTACTGAGATTTTCGCGCTGCCGAGATCGAAGTCTTGATTCTCGCCTGAAGGGAGATGAATATTTTCTTTATTTTAGTAATGCTGGGATTGGTGGATAAATCGCGCGAATGATAAGAAAGGATATTTAATACGATATTTAATACTTGATATAGAGCAGCGTTTAGACTATGTGTTGAATTTTACATAGAATTTAAATCTATTTCACAAATAATGTTGGCGTCACGTTGAAAAATTTTCATGCAGTGCTCAGAATGCTACTCTAATTTTTATTGTAGACATTTTTATTCGGGATTCAATGGAATTTTGACTTCAAATTTTTTGAAAGCAAAATCTTTTGCGTTATGGAAGAACGTACATAATGATTTTTAAATTAAAGTCCGCGAAGCATGAGGTCACACACTCTCCGGTTGAGAATGTTACAATTTAACAGGAGATAACTTCATCAAAATTTGTGATCATAATTAAATTGTGATTTAGATTTTTTTATTATATATTGATATTGAAAATACGAGGATTTTGTTCTGCTTTGATCTAATTTAAAACAATTTCACTGATTGGCTTGTACTTTTGCTACGAATTACCTGAAGTCGTTAATTATTCATGGTTGATCCATTCGCATTCTGTTCTTCGTTTTTAGCAAAAGACTAAAGAATTTATTTCTTGCCCGAAATTTTTATTCGATGTTAGCTTCAAAAACTTCCTAAAATTATTTTACAAAAAATCCCAGAAACTATATTTCAGTGAGAATTACCAGTGACTTCAAAACACATTAATCGGAAGTCTTTGAACGATGAGGGATGATGATGCTGGCCTGTCGAGAATATTTGCAAAGACTGCAGCGCTGTGAGCCTTTGCCTGGACTACAAATTAAACAAGAGCAGCTCACTGTGTGAAGAAATTCCCTTTTCAAGATGATAGAGAAGAGGGAGAAGATTAGAAAATATATTATGATACATTTTTGGACCTATTGGAATAATAGCATCAAACAGTTTTTTTTATTTAATTAAAGGCCGCAGAGAAGATATAACCATGAAACAGTGGAATATAAAAAAATCAAATACACATGAGTTCTTTTATACAAACAAATACAACATGTGCTGGCCCATTGACGGCTTATAAATATTATAAAAATCAAACTCATCAATCTTACGAAAGAAAAACTTTGCACCAAGTGCACGATATTCTCGCTAACGGGGAAAAAATTACTATTTAAATTAGCAAAAACAATTGCAATATACTCATTGTTTATGGTTAATAACGTTTAAGCGCTTACAAAGTGACACGAAAACCCGTTTTTGTAAAATATTTGCCCTGCTGCCTCGGCCAGCAATAGTAATGAGAGAAATGCGTGAGTGTTTCAAGTTGCAAATCTAACGCGCTGCAGACTTTCTATTTCATGAAAAATTTTATTGTATTTTTCCGCTGAATTTTCAGCGCGGTATCAAGTCCAATTTCGTAAGTCATTTTAGGACTTTTTCTGCCACGCACCTGGCGGCACTGAGGGCGGCGCATGAGCCCTGTTCACCTATAACATTAACATACACTAACATATACAACATTAATATACAACATTTCACCTATAGCATTAACATACAAAACTGCGCGCTCACACCGCCTGTCTCGCTACAGTCTCACTTACGAGGTAAATCTTTCCCTCGAGAATATCATGTAAAAATTATACGGTATAAACTTTTCTGCGTCGAAAACAACAACAAAAAATATTTATGGAAAGTTTTTCCGAGATAGTATTCACTTTTCCTAAAACGCATAGTACTGATGTCACAAATCTATTCCTCAATCCGTGGATTCGAACTATTTTCAATGGACGATTTTAAAAATTGTCACGGTAAATTAGAGCCATGAAAAAAAAATTTCCGTACGCAGCATCACGAGTCAGTCAACTTTTCAGCAAATGGATTTTTCAAAAATCTGAACGTGGACGATGGGATCCTTTAGCTAACGAAATCGAATGTATCCGGATGCTGTTGAAACGAATTAAAAAGATTTATAATGCACGCACATATGATCCTACGAATCATAATTTATGAAATGTGAGATCTTCTAAGAAGTTGTAGCATTTATCGTTTCGAACGATGCATTTGTAGCATTTATCGTTCCTCAACTTGCGTCCGACAATCTCGTGTGAAAATCACTCATTCAAATCCTCTCATAATTTTGTTACTATTTAAATATCCCTGGAATGGCTAGTTGCACAACACCACAACTGGGATATATTTTCAAGTCTATTGCTTAAAACAAATGATACTTCCACATTGAAACATAACAATCAGACAATATTAGTGAGTAGAAGAGTCTGCTTCCATCTGCTTGAGTGCAGCACACTGCCAGACGTAATAAAAAGTTCTCATTGACTATAAGGAGTTCTCATGAAAAGTGAGTGCCTCTATAAGATGAAGGCTTGATTCGCGCAAGCGCAGAGTTTGGCTCCATGGATCCTAAGGAAGCTGCTGTCTCCAAACAACATTGCGGTCTAAGCGCGTACATTTAGTGCAATTTTTGTGGTATGGAGCGGAGCATTTAAAAACTTGAGGTCACGGACAGACGGACGGACAGACGGACAGACAGACAGACAGACGGACATGGCGAGCACAATAGTGCATTTTTTCCATGAATGAGAAAATGCGCTAAAAAGGGTGCGAGGCTACATCTGTTTTACCAGAAGCTTGAATGCAGATTTGATATTCAAATCTACATTCAAATAACTTTGAATGCAAGAAAAAAATAAAGAAGAAAAGAAAAGAAGATATAAAGAAGGAAAACGTTTTTACCAGCGTAAATTAGCTTCGTAATCAAGACCATGAAGAACAATCAATGAAATATTTTCGTATATTTGACATGGTCGATGAGAACGAAATGAGGGACCATTCAGTCGGGTTTAAATGAAGCTTTAAGAACTGATTTACAACACGATTTCCAATAGTTATATTTTAAATTTAAAGTTTGACAAAGGTTTGAATAATGAATACAGTCTCATCGATCATCTTCAACTATTTTCAGCAAGTATATCAGAAGCAAACAAATATTTTTATTTCTGATTTACGTTGTGAGTTGAGACCAATGCTGAGGAATACCGAGTTATAGCGGGCTAAAAGTATCGTCTGTAGATATTTTTTAATAAAATTATTTCTGGAAAATACACAGCGATTATTTTTTATGGTTTGGCAATAGCAAAAGTAGTCCTCATTAACAAAAATCTCATGTACATAAGTTTAATGTACATAAGTACGAAGTTCAACGGAGAACTAAATCATTACAAAGCATAAACCATCACTAATGACGTAAATCGCATGTTATGTCGCAGTAGTTCTTTGATTTCATCTGCAGTTGCACTACATTTATCGGTCGTCTATTTTCCTGCGATGCTTGAGCAACGTACGTTTGAGTAGCATTGGATCTTGGCAGGAATTTCCAACAAACTGCGATGCTGTTTAAGCTGAAGCTAAAACCGGCAGATGTACATGAGCTACAAATACTTCTTTAAAACTGAATGGAATATTTAGCTTATCGGCGAGAATTTCCTTCATTTAATCTAACAATGCAGTCAGATCGTTCTAAGTACTGGTTTGTAATTCTAGCCTTCCATCTAAGCTACAATGTCTCCATGTTTTGTTCTATCTTTGATAAAGGGCTACTGATAGGAGACATTAATTACTATAAACTGTGGTTCCTTGGGTGAATGCCGTAAGCTCCCACGCAGGTGCGAGATGTTTGGCCTCTCAAAAACTTTACGAAAGGTAAGGTGAGTTTCAGTGTAGTTGTAAGTGAAGGATTATCTTACAAGACTTCAAAAGCAAAAATGAAGCAAAATTAGGTCAGCACATTTTCTCAAAAATTACATTTTCACCAAAACAAAACATTATAATCCCGAAATTTTTTTAATAAACCCTGCAGTAATAATTTACCTGACACTTCTTTGGTTTCCTTAGCAATTTTTTGAGTTGAGCTAACAGATGAACAATTAATCAAGTTATTGAGTATTATTATAGGTTGTTATTAAATCGTACTTCCAAGTGTTCAATTGTTCACTGGAAAACTCTCAAACATGTACAAAGATGAAATTATTCTAGTTGTGCGTCTAGGCGCAGCAGAATCCAAAGTACTACTTTATTCGCATTTCTAAGGCAATCAATATTTTAAAGGTGATATATTATGGTTGAGAAGAGAGGATGAGGACTAATGAGACAGTAGGAATCAAGATGACTCAAACCTTGATAGGCTGATATCAAAGTGCTATTAAAGTTTTACTACTGTATATTGTGCAGGTCAGGCTGCCGAAGAATAAATATAAAGAATACGCGACATTTCTCACGAAGTTATCATGAAATAACTACTATGTTTCCTTTGATTGAAGGCAAGTTAGAAAGTTGGCAAGTTGAAGGCAAGTTTGGTTGTGCAAAAGGAAAAATTGCAATAAAACTTACCTTTACGGCAGCAAATTCGCATAATTTGAAGATATGGTTTAATTTCTCTCCTTCATGGAGCCACAGGGTAACATGTTGCGTTTAGGTTATCTCGGGCATTTGCGTTAGCAGATGTTACAGGAATTTGTTGTGTCTATCGCTTCTCTGTGGCGCCTGGAAGTTTTGGCAGAGCTGTGCATAGTTTGAGGGACATTGCTTTGAGTCCTAAAAATTAGAGCGAACAATTGGGGAGTAGAAGAATCGCAAATCAGGGAGTCGGAGGATCGCAAATCAGGGAGTCGGAGGATCGCAAATCAGGGAGTCAGAGGATCGCAAATCAGGAAGTCGGAGGACCGCAAATCTAGGAGTCGGAGGAT